CAGTCTTTCTTATCCTTGCGTGGTTCTATAGCCACAGGACTTTTGCCTTCATGGGATTTTATATTGATCTCCATGTCATGGGCACGTGTTGCCAATTCTTCAAATGTGCGAGGTTTTATACCTTGCAAAATGTAAAGAAGGCCCCAATGCATTCCCTACATACACATCTCCACAGCAGAGATTTCTGACAATCGGTCTTTGCAGTCAAGACTGAGTGCTTTCCACCGATTAATGTAGTCGATTACAGGCTCATCCTTCCATTGCTTCATGTTAGTCAACTCTATCATACTAACAGTATGACGAGTACTATAAAACCTGTTCAAGAATTCTCGTTCCATTTGGTCCCAACTATCAATTGACTCGACTTTAGGTCGGTGTACCACTCGAACGCGTTTCCTTTAAGGGAGCGGACAAACTATTTAACTAGTAAGTCCCCCTCTGTTCCGGCATTGTTACAAGTCTCGACAAAATGGGCAATGTGTTGCTTGGGGTTACCTTTTTCGTCAAATTGCTGAATCTTCGGAGGTTGGTATCCTACATGCATCCTCATACTGTCGATTCTCCTTGTATAGGGCTTTGAGTACATGAGAATGCTCTGTGAGACGCCTCCATATTGGGCTCGGATTGTATTCGTTATCATATCTTGCAATTGTGCGATAGATAATGAAGAGACTAAAGAAGCATGATTGGTTTGACTAGCTACCTGTTCTGTCACCGGCATCTGGTTTTGACTAGCCACCTGTTCTGTCACCGACGTCTGTTTGGGGTCCTCCATACAAGTACCTTGTGCGGTAGAATTAAGATTCTCTGTCGATATTGCTGTGGAAGATGTAGGATTCCCAAACGATAGTGGTGTGAAAGTTGCACGATTCCTAGTTGGCGGTGCTGTGGAAGATGTAGGATGCCCAAATTGTACTGGTGATTCACCGAAGGTCTGAACCTCCAATTTGTTCATCAGCGTAGTGATTTGTAAGCCTTCTCTTCAATAGTCTTTGTGAGGTTCTCAATGGCATGAGACATAGTTGCTAGTTATTCCTCCATTGTGGCAGCTCCAGTCATCATAGCAGCGACCACATCTGAGTATGATAGGCCTTGAGAGTCAACGTTTCTTGAAGTGATTGAATACTCCAAAGTCTAACGTGGTGACTCTGGGGGTGAACCGACACTAGAGCGAGCATCATGGATGGAATGAGGTGAATCTGGTGGCGGAATCTCCTCTAGAACAACGTCAAGGTTCTTAACATGTTGGGTTTTCACATTTACCAGCTTTACAAGATTGGTTTTCACCAAGTCTTGCTAATGTTTGGATGAAGCCATCGCCTGGGACTTGCTACGTGTCACAGGGCCCACCAAGGTACTTCCATCACTTGATTTGGCCTTCGTGCCACTTTTCATGGTGGCTTTGGCGTCGACCTTTGTGGTAGCGATGTTCTTTTGGGCTTTCTTATATGTTTGAGTCTTATGGGGAGCCATAGAGTCGGATAGAGAAGAAACTTGCTGATAGGAGAAAGAGATGAGAGGCAAAGGATGTCCCACCGGGCATGCCAGAAATTTATACACACAAATTTTGTAAGTCTGCAATAGAAACAAAATATGGAGCAAATAATATAATTTTATTAATTTGAGAAATTGAGGTACAATCCTCTGTAATATTCTTTACAAAAGAAAGAACTGGTCCTCTGATTAAATCTCCTGTTTTTTGTTGGTTGGTTGGATCCAAGGGCTGCACAAGCTTGATCTTGAATTACCGTGGAATTTGATGAAGAACGGTACGTCTTTGGCTGTGCTTGTTGTTGATCACCGTGGAATTTGATGAAGAACGGCACGTCTTTAGCTGTTCTTGTTATTGATTACCGTGGAATTTGATGAAGAACGGCACTATTTGATGTGCTTGGTGTTCTTTGCTTTTGGGTTTGGATGTTAGGGATGAGAGTTTCTATCTTTCTCTCTGGAATTCTAGATTTCTGAATTCTGACTTTGTGTACCCCTTCTCCCTTTCTCCAGGCCTCTATTTATAGGCTTCTTGGATCCATAGGATGATGACCCGTGTCCTCTCTGATAAGGAAAATATTATAACTGGGCCGGGCCGGATATATTATGATAATTATCCTTAAAAATAATTATTCCAAATATATTTTATTAGGAATAATTATCTTTTTATTTAACCATCTAGACTGGGCTTAATTAAATAATTTAAGTGAACCAAACTTGGGCCAATTAAATAACTTAATTAAACATTAGGGCCATATTTAATGGGTCTATTTGTCTAAATCAAAGTCCACTAAAATTTTAGTGTCTACAGGGGCAAAGTGTGGAGGCAAAAATCTCACATTCCAATTAAAACAAGACACGTCAACATATAAGGGGACCACCACAAACACTGAAACTATTCAACCTTCAAATTGGGCCTCTACAAAAAGCTTCGGCCGGGTTAACTAAGCTTAATGTGCTGAACTCATTAAGAAGACCCGAGATGATAAGACCCCAAGCCCAATTACAAATATATTACTAAACCCATTTTAGTAACAATTCTATTAGAATAAAGATTATAATCTATGGAAACCAAATAATGTAAATCCTTATTATAAGGATAGTATGATGTAATTCAAACTCTTAAGGGACAATCAATGCGAGTCTTAAAAAGAATCTATTAAGGTTTTTTCTATATAAAAAGGGCTTAGGACCCTTAATAAAGGGTACAGAGAAAAAAGTGTAAAGTCCCCAAAAAAGAGATCCAATTCTCATCGCCAGAACTACGTTCCGACCTGATTCCCACGCTCTATGAGGCGGGATACGTAGGTAATCCTATACAATTTCTCTAGTTCGTTGTTTATTCTCCATTATTATTTTGGATGTAGTAATTGTAGAAATTGTTGACTTGTCAAAATCAAACGAATTTTTGCACCTACAACTGTTGCTATTTAGACAAAAATCAAGACCCAGCAGTTCTTATTTCTTATTTTTATTTTAACATAATCTCAAAATCATTTTTGTAAATGGGTTTCTATGTCTCTAAAATTTAGTTTAAAGGTTAAATATGCAATTTTGTTCTTAATGGATTTAGGTGGAAATTTTCAAGCATGTTTTTAAAATGTTTCTTAATCCTGATCAACAAATGGTAAAATAAATCAACACAAGAAGATTGTCATCAACCCCATTTTATCGGAAAAAAATCCTCTCCAGTTACTCTGGATTGGTCGAGTGAGGAGTAAAAAAGTTGACTTTGCGGTTCAGTTAAATTCATATTTACCAAACTTCTAATATATAAATACATACATTATACATCATACGTAGTATCTATTATTTAATGAATTAACTTTCACCTAATACGTAATATCTATTATTTAATGAATTGACTTTCACCTCATTGGTCCAGTTTGTTGAAATTTGAACATCTTTATAAGAAAGAATGAATGAAAATTCTAAAAAAGAATAAGAACCCAGAAAACAACTCAAAATAGAAAAATAAGTACATGAAAAAGATGTAGATATATATATATATATATATATAGAGAGAGAAATATATATATATATATATATATATATATACATATATATTATATATTTGCTAATTTTGTTTTGATTGCCTTGATTTAATTGGCACATATTTGTGTATATACAAGGAGAGAGGTGGAAAAGGAAAAAATAAAAAATAAAAAAAATGAATAAAAAAGGGGAATAACATGGAATCATATTAGTAAGGAAAAAAACAAAACAGGTCCTTAGTCACTTTTTTTTCTTCAAACTTCTCTTTACAATTTAAGGTTAAGGAAGTAAGATTTGTGGGGCAAAAATTAAAGTTATTTAATTCGACCGAGTTCGAAATTTTCAATTTGGAGAAGTTTTGAGAATCGAGTGATATACTAACTCTAATAACCCATAATTATATGATTTGCTCTTCCTTATAATTTTGTTTGAGTAGCATGTTCTGTATACATATTTTATTTTTTGTTAAATTGTTTTAAAGTGAGTTTATTTTCCATTTTAATTTAAGTCAAAAATAAAGTTAAATTGTACAATAATATACTCTGTATAATATATTACATAAAAGTATAACGTATAGAGTGGTATTCGTATATATAGTAAAACAAAAGTAATTTTTTTCTTGATTTGCTGATTTGGCATTGACTTGGTGATGACAAGGCTATGCTGGGGAGGTGACGTTAACCACCATCGTTAGATGCTCACTGAATATCGTTAAGTGGGAGAGTAACAAGAGAGGATTTTTTTCCCATTTAATGCATTTTCGAAACATACTTGCATCACTCTTAAAAATATTTTAAATCTTTTAAACAATTTTCCAAAACATCTAAAGTCAATATATGAAATTTATTCATGAACCAATATCAAAAACCAAGTCAAAGGTGTGCCAAATTATCTTAAGCCTATTTCACCTCATGGACAACATTGTTATTTCAGTAACTCATGACCACAAGACTACTTTCGAGTTTGTTCACACATTTAGGTAAAAATTTTGAGCAAATGGTAAATCCTTCGAATTAATTACGAGAATACTAGAGAGTTAGTTACGTGAGTGGAATTTTTTTAAAATATTCCCGAGAGTTATGTGTGTGGAAATTTTTTAAAATATTTTGGTATCGATGTTCTAATCCTCCTAGAACTTCTCACATGAATAGGGTTGCAAATCCTATCACATGACATCACTCTACGTCATATGATTAGACCCACATCTCGTATATCGAACTTAGAAAGATTTATCGAGAAACAAAAAAAGAAAAAGAAAAAAGAAATCACACTTTATTCTGAAGTTTAAGTTTGAAAAGGAATTTGCAAACATTATGTATTATCTCAACAAAAAGGTGTCTAGAAGGACAGAAAAACCAGACATCCTCACACGGAGCCAAGAGTGAACTATTAGAAATAGTGTCCTTGGGTTCAGCAATTTGGAGACAGTGCAAAGTTGATGAATTTGAATAAAAGCTCACACTGCAAAAAGAAACCTAAATACACAAGAAAGCTATTGCTGTTACCAACACCAATTCCATGAAAAATAGACTTTTAAAACTGCCAAGCTTGCTGTTTAAAAGGGATGATAAACCGAAAAAATACAACAAAAAATGCGAAAAAGGGAAGAAGCTAAAAGCTACTCATAAAAAAAACAAGAACAAATGGGCAACTATAGCCCCTGATGTATTAGTTGGTTCTTGGCTCTGGCTTTCTCACTTTTAAAATTATATGCCATCCTTAAGCTGAGGACTTGGTGGTCGATGAACTGTCTTCTTTATGGTCGCCAAAGACACGTTGCCGGAAGTCTGTGACCATTAGAGGGAGACCCTTGCGAAGGGACACCTTTGGTTCCCAACCAAGCAGATCTTTAGCCTTCGTGATATCAGGCTTCCTCTTGTGTGGATCATCCTCTGTGTTGGGTCTGAATTCTATCTTCGCGTTCGGGTCAATTGTTTCCTGCACCACCTGCACCAATATATGAAATGGAGCTGATGATTCCTCATGTACCCGACAAAACAGATATTCAAAAGCTCTCCCATAACAAGCTTTACTCCCTAAGTTCAGAAGTCTTAGCTTTAACAAATAACAAGTCCCCAGGAAAGACTTTAGCTATAAAAAAAACAAAAAAAAACAGTATTTTTTACTTTTTCATTAGTAATTGTTTTGATCCTCGGAAAATGCTTGCTATGTCGGGGCACAACAGTGTGATAGGTCCCACAAAAAATGTGGAGCTCACGAAACTCCTGTGTCTTGTTGGCTTGGGCTGATTTGGCCCAAGCAGCACAGTCCAAATTATCTCAGACAATATTCAGAAATTAAGATTCACCCTTTTTTTACTTGGTTGCGTTTTAGTTATCACTTACACAAACACACACACTTGGTTGCGTTTTAGTTATCACACCCAAACACACCCACATATTTTTTTATTTTTGGAGGTGAATCACTTATTATTGAAACACACCCAAACACTTATTATTGTCTCGATTGGGATTTGAATCCTCGACCTTCAAAAAGGCTATACCAATCATTCTTAGTACTTGGTTGTATAAACTCACATTATTGAAGACTTTATTACGTCCTGCTAATTACATTGTCTTCTGAAAATAGAAGAACTTGATCTTTTAGGTTTTGGCAAGAGAATAGTATTAGCATTCATGTTCTCACTTTCTGAAACTCCATTATTTTCTTTCAGGCATAACTTTAATAAGAGCAAAGAAACAAAAATATTGTGCAAAAAAATTAAACAGGTCCTAATATGTGACAGCTAAAAAGACTGTCCATGTACAATACATTGGATAGATGGTGAAGGATGATACCTGAGCAAGTTCAAGCATGGTGAATTCACCCGGATTCCCTAGATTAAAAGGTCCCACGTGTTCTCCTTCCATCAGGCGCATTAGGCCCTCCACCTTTCACATCAAAAACAAATCACACCGTTCAATTAATATTATTAAATTTTTTTTCAGAAAACAAAAATCTCAACATAGTATTAAGCATTTCCATTTTCAACAGTTGCACCGATCCCAGAAACCCACTATTAACTATTACATTCATAATTGCATTAATTAATATCTAACTACTCAGGGTAAGCCCTACCCTAGAAAATCAATAAATATCTTACTACTCAGGGTTAAAGCCTACCCCAGAAAAATCAACTACCCACCACAAAACAACAATTTTAGAGAGAGAACATAAGCCATCCACTTCTTTTTTCCAAACCTAAACAATTTTCAGGTTCAATTTTTTTTTTTTTTTTTTTTTTGGTTAAAAAAAATGCTGGAGAAGTTAAGGTAAAAAAGGGAAATTGGTTGAAATTGACATGGTGAGGATCTACCAGGCTAACTTTTGCCAAGCCAGGGGCTTGTTCTTTATATTGCTATATAGTGTTTGTATTGTTAAAAGGTATCTATATCTACCTTTTATGAATATCATATTATACCAACTCATGCTTATTTATTATTGTACCATAGGTCCTAATGTATCAGTCCAACACATGGTACACATTGCTGCTTTAAATAATAAAGCCATGTACATACCACACCATGAATTGCAAGGGTGTCATCCCAGTTTTTGGCATGACATAAAACCGACATCGATGCAAATAAATAAGCCCAAAACACTAGACATACAAATTTAATGTAAAAACACAATCTCATCCTTTAAGTTGACAAATTCAAGATCAAATTATTGAAACTGAGATATCGATATTAAAATAAGAAAAAGGTATAAAAGCCAAGAACAAACTGAAAAAACAATGGCAATTTGACTAACAGAATCTCTTACCAAATCAGAAACATATTGGAAACTCCTTGTTTGCTTTCCGTCACCGTAAACTGTCAATGGCTCCTTCCTTAGGGCCTGCATTGCCGTCGTAAAACTATTACTATCACAAATTACATTGCATTTTAGAATAGGGAAATTTCAATGGTATTTTCGACTAATACATCCTACTATCCCTCACACTTGTTTTCTATTATTTATTATTATTTTTTTTTCCATTTTGTTGGTAAATCATAATAGTACATTTTCATACGGGAAAAATACGGGGAAAAATACTACTACGTATTTCACTCTTATGTTTGACAAATAATGGTATAATGGTATGTTTGTAGCAGGTGATCCAGTGGACAGCATTGCACCATGTCCTTAAAATTGACTCTATCTATATACACACATACATATATATGTGTGTGTGTGTGTGGGGACACACATACATTTGTATATCTGTATATATATATATACAGACATCATAAGTTATGCTGACATTACAAATATACCTGAGCAACAAAGTTGCTGACAACACGACCATCATCAATGCACATCCGAGGCCCATAAGTGTTGAAAATCCTAGCAATCCTCACCTGTTCAAATACACCTTTTACATAAATACATACACAAATATATATATTTTATACATTATATTTATATATGTAAAATATAAAATAAAGTTAAAAACTAACCTCAACTCCAGCACCTCTATGGTAGTCCATGGTCAACGTTTCAGCGGTTCGCTTTCCCTCGTCGTAGCAACTTCGGACACCTGTCAACGTAGTTAGGCATTTCGTTAATAATACATCCCACTAACAGACATCACCTTTCTGTGTCAGATCTTCATCTTAGAACTTCCACATTTACCAATATGCCCCTCCCCACTTTCACCTATTTACTGTTCTACCACTCACCAATAATCAACTAAAAATAAGCAAACCAAAAACCAGCCAACAGAGACGACCTGAACCTCCCTCCATTTGCTCGACCCGCAAATCACGGGACTCAGCATTGACCATTCCATGCACAATACGATGCCGTATTACATGGTTCTACACGGCACATGTTAGCCTCGGAGATGCTAACGTACACCTCTAGAGGAAGAGATGCTAACGTGTGCGGAAGAGGGAGAGATGCTAACGTGTGGCTCTAGAAGGGAGAGATGCTAACGTGAGCCACCGTTAAGAGAGATGTAAACTCACCGATGGGATTGACGTTGCCCCAGTAAGTCTCGACCTGGGGGTGTTGCAGAGGATCACCATACACCTCACTGGTGCTCGTTAGCAGGAACCGCGCACCGACCCTCTTGGCCAGTCCAAGCATGTTCAGAGTCCCCACCACATTCGTCTTGTGAAACCCCCAAAAATCAGAATTAAGGACCCAAAACAACAAAAACACCATCCATTCTTGAACACACACAAAAAACTCAGAAAATTAAAGTAATTTTGGAATGAAGAAAAGGATATAATGGTCTTGACAGGATTGAACTTGTAGTGAACAGGAGAGGCAGGGCAAGCGAGATGGTAGATCTGATCGACCTCCAGTAGGAGTGGCTCAACGACGTCGTGTCGGATGAGCTCGAACCTAGGGTTCCCAAAATGGTGCATCACGTTCTCCTTCCGGCCCGTGAAGAAATTGTCGACGACGATCACGCTGTCCCCTCTCGCAATCAGACGGTCCACAAGGTGGCTCCCGACGAACCCGGCCCCACCGGTCACCACGATCCTCAGACCCTTTCGTTTCAGACCCAGAGGGATCTTCCCGCCCAGATTCACCAACCCGAATCCGACTTGGTTCTGGTGGGTCACCTTCACTCTGTGGAGAGGGAGTTGGTGGTGAGTCGACTCGGAGGTGAAGTACGGTTCGGAGAGCGCGATGTGGCCGTGAATGTAAGGGTTGCGAGACGAGGGAAGGACGGTGAAGACGAGAGTGGCGATTGCAATGCCGACGAGGACGAAGAGTAGTCGCTGCTCGCGGAGCATGTATCGAATCGGACGAATCACAGTGGCCCATGGCTTGGGTCGCTTCGGCGAGTACGAATCGGACATGGGTTGGGTCTCGTGACCCCTGAAGATCAACTCCGAACCCATGTTCAACCCTCCTTATCACTCTCTATATATATGTATATGTATATAGCTTTCTCTCTCTAGAACCAGATATTCAATTCAATTCAATTCAGGTGAGAGTTTTCGCCGGGAATTAGAGCTCTCTATCTCATCTCCGGCGCGTGTGGGAGCGATTATGGTGGTGGTGGTGTTTAAATAGCACTTTCTGTTTTGATTGATATTTTACGAAATTGTCCATCCATTCTTTAAGGTTTGAAAAGTAAACGGTGGTTTGCAATTAGGTAGGATCCAATATATAAGAGAATTTGTAATCAACTTTAAGAGTGAGAAAGTGGTTCATTTTGGACTTTCAGCGTATAGAGTCTAATACATGGCTTGTATAATATCTATCTATTCATTTCTTATTTTCTTTTTATATATATATTTTTATTTTTTTATATTCTTTATAATTATATATATTATAACCTTTATTATTCATTATTATTAAGTTTGCACAAATTACACAATTTTTCAGTGCTTATTACTTACATCTCTCCTTATATTTGTCACGTTCAACAATTTTATCTCTTTAGATTTGTCACTTGTGCTCAAAGGTACCTTTTTAGGATTTTTTTTTTGACTAAATTTTATAAAATGATAATTTTGTTCTTTCCTTAATGTTATGCTGGTACACTGGGGTTGAAGGGGAGGATAAGATTGATTACGAGGGAAAGAGAAAGGAATGGAAGGGAAGGATAATTTTAATTCTCCGTTGTATTTGATTGGTTAATGAAAGAAAAGAAAAAGAAGGATAATATTTATATTTGGGAAAAGAAAGGAAAGGGAAAGATAATAATAAATTTACTATTATACCCTTATTATATTTTAAAAGAGAGAGAGAGAGAGAGAGAGATATATATATATATAATCTCTTATATTTTGATACAAAAGAAAAAAAAAAAGAAAAAAAACGATTAGGGCAAATCATTTCAGCCTCCATCTCTAATCTCGTTCTCAAAGCACCTCCATCTCTAATGTCGTTCTCAAGTCTGAACTTGCCCTCTCCTCCCTCTGTCTCTCTCTCTCTCTCAAATCAAAACCCACATCTTTCAGTTTTCGTCGCTGTTTCAGTTCCAATTCGGGTTCGTTGTTTGCCTAAAAAAAATCAAAACCCACATCTTTCAGTTTCCATCACTGCAGTTCGGGTTCGCCATCCGCCGTTCGTAAGCTTCCCGCGCTGAATACATGTCCAATATCAAGTGCAATTTTAAGGGTAAAAGTGACATGACAAATATTATATGAGCCATTGCCTGCCCTTTCCTTCCTTATCCTCCCATTTTTGGAAGGTTAAATAAATTACTGTACATTGTTACGAAGAACCCCTCCAAACCCTTCCCTCTCCTTCCCTTTCCCTCCACTCACCTTACCCAAACACAATTTTTTTATAACCCTCCATCACCTTCCCTTCCCATTCCCTTCAAACCCACTCTACCAAACTGAGCCTACATAAATTGCAATATAACATATATATATATATATATATATATATATATATATATATATATTATTATAATATATATATATATATATATATTATTATAATATAATGATGTTATTGACTTTTTACATTAAAAGTCCCCACAAACCGTGTTTAGAAAAATTGAAGTGTTAAGTATTAAATGATCCACGCATTTATAATTTGTGTAAACTTAACTTCAATATAATTTACATTTATTATTATTAATTTTTACCCACATTGCAATTCAGTATATTTTACTTTGAAATGTCACAATTTTATAATTTTTCTTTATTAGTATTATTATTATTTGTTACCCACATCGTAATTCAATATATTTTACTTTGAAATGTCACAACTTTTTTAAGTACTCAATTTTACACTTTGAAGAGGTGACATTTTAAAGTAATTTGGTAAAATTGCGCTAGGTATTTTAAGAAAAAAGTGGGTAGCAGAGATTTTAATTTTTATATAAATAGATTGTAATGAGCAGCCCATTCAACTAAGAAATTTAAAACGATTACATAAGAGTCAGTTTCTTTTTCTGTGTTTTTTTTTTTTTTTTTCTAGTGACATGTATTTTTATTTATTTATTTTTTTTGGATTTAGGACGATAAATGACTTTAAATTTTTAATCAAATATATATTTTGGTGCCTTTAAATTTTTAATCAAATAAATATTATGGTATCTTTTTAATTGAGGTAGTACGGGAGAGAATGTTGATTCATGACACAAATGTCATTCCACACACATTTTGTGTTTGAATGTGGGCAATAAATGACTTTAAATTTTTGGTCAAGTAAAATTATTACATATGAGTTTTTAATTGAGGTAGCGTTGTTATCTAGGTCGATGAATAATGAGTCATCAACTAAACGAGCATGTCATAGAAGTTGAATAAAGGCTCCAATAAAGCAAATATCACTTTTTGAAAGTTTACTTAAGAGTTTGATGTTTAATTCGTTTTTTTTTTTTTTTTTTTTTCATAAAAGGTAAATTTAATTTGATATCAAACCTCGTATTCTACGTAAAGAAAATTGATACCCTTTTTTTTTTTTTTTATGGTTGAATTTTGTGAATAGACGTTTGAATTTTATTGTACAATATCACATTGTCATTACGTGACGAGACTTACATTTCTATTCACACGTTTCACACGTTTCTTAATGCGCTACATTTTTTGAATTTTTAGGATGAATCAATTTTTGTGCAAAATGATTCCAAGTGTTATACCGTCTTTACCCTTCCTTGCTTGGCATGGGTGAGGTAATGGTTTTTGGAGCAACCAAACATGTACGAAAAAGGGTAAAGCATTGTGGAACTTTGTACCAAATACAAACATTTAATATACTAAGTAGGGCTTAAACTGGTCTGAACCGATTTATTAGATTTAGAGGGGAAAAGGAAAAGGGAAAATAATACATATATGTGAATTTGGAAGATGTTTGACCAAATGTTGAAAAGGAATGTAGGCTGTATTACACAAAATCATCCTAACATTTTGCGATAGGATTTGCCTAACCCACTCATATATGTTTTTTTGTTTAATGAAATTTTTTTTTTTTGTATCGAATAATTGTAGTGAATTGGTGCTAAATTTACTGCTTTTAATTAATCATTTATGTAATAAATAAGAAAGTGGAACCTCACCTTATTTATATTTTGCATAAATAATCAATCAAAAATTATTCAGTTAGGTAATTCAACTCTTCGATGTGAATATTACTCATTCTTTATCCCACATATTCTAAGGATGTATCAATGCGAAAGAAAAAAAATAAAATAAAATAAAAAACTAGACAATAAACAAATCAAAGGAGAAAATACTTACCCCAAAAAAATAAAAAGAGAAAAGAAACAAAAATAAACAAATCAAAGATAAAAAACAAGTGCCTTAATGATTGTTTCCCAATTGACTATTACGGGTGGCAAAGTTGGTAGAACGTCTAACTCTCCCTGTTAATGTGTCTATGTTCAAATTTCCCTCCTTACTTTGCTAAGATAATAAATAAATAAATGTTTACTTTGAAAAATCAAGAAAAAATTTACTCCTCCAAGCCTTCCCTCTTTCCCAAATAAGCCTTTCCTCTTCCCAAATAAGAACAATTTAAGACTACATAATGCATAAATTAATCCCAAGTGAACCTCAATTTATCTGAATCTCACTCATTCATTCGTAAAGATATTTTTCAAAATGTTATAACTTCAATATATATATATAAATTATCTTTTGCTCATTCCGGGAAAAAGAAATCAAATTTGTTGACTTGAGCACAGAGGAGTGCTATATTTAAAGATCAATATTTGTCAACTAAGAGCATTTCTAGCGGTATTTTAAAATATTTTTTTTGTGTAAAATATACAATGCCACTTATGATGTGTAAATTTTTTTCATCTCCAGCAGTTTATTAAGATACATTGCCACATCACTAATGTGTAAAAGGATTGTGTATTTTACGCAACATTTTTACACGGCCAAATCAACATATTTTCTTTTTCATCCATCTTTCTCATTCCATTAACAAATCAACTATATATTAAGTAAGTTTATAAAAATTATGTGGGTCATAACATAATACATTGTTGATTGTTATTGGGAGATATATTTTTTATACAAAAAGTATAAAATAACTGAAACTAAAATTAAATAATTAAAATTTTTTATGTAAATTCATTATGACATATAACGGTTAGAGATGCTCTAACACCAACATGCACTTGGATAAGTTATCAAAAGTGGAATCAAATTTGGAAAGTATATCTTGTCACATTTGATTTGGAAAGTATATCTTGTCCCATTTGGTCGCCAAATATAAAAGATTATACTCCCAAATTATATGCAAAGAAATATATTTATATATCATAAGATAATCTATATAAACCAGCAGAGGCATGTTTCAAAAGGAAATACTCCATCTGTTCCGAATTAGATGTCGCCTTTGGTATTTGTGACTCACAAAAAAATTACTACTTCAGTTCCGAATTAGATGTCGCCTTTGGTATTTATGACTGAAAAATATACATAACGGTTGGAGATGCTTTAACACCAACATGCAATAAGTTATCAAAAGTGGAATCAAATTTGGAAAGTATATCTTGTCACATTTGATTTGGAAAGTATATCTTGTCCCATTTGGTCGCCAAATATAAAAAGACTATACTCCCAAATTATATACAAAGAAATATATACGTATATCATAAGATAATCTATATGAACCAGCAATGGCAGGTTTCAAAAGGAAATACTCCCTATGTTCTGAATTAGATATCGCCTAAACTACTACTTCCGTCCCAAATTAGATGTCGCATTTGATATTTGTGTCTCACATAACAACTTTGTTCATTGGCTCCTAAATTAATCAAGGGCTAAATAGGATCAGCAAATGAACAATATTCATTATTATTATTATTATTATTAATTTAAGTGGTCTCTGCCTAACTAAATAAACTTCACTCTAAAAACTACTACTTTTGTCCCGAATTAGATGTGAGTCACAAATATCAAAGGCGACATCTAATTCGGGACGGAATTAGTAGTTTTTAGAGTGAAGTTTATTTAATTAGGCAGAGACCACTTAAATTTATTATAATAATGAATATTGTTCATTTGCTGATCCTATTTAGCCCTTGATTAATTTAGGAGCCAGTGAACAAAGTTTGATAGGCTCATTCGCAATTTCATTAATCAATAGGTGGCTTTATGGTCCAATTGATAGCAACCGACGCTAGGAGGCCAAACAAAAGCGCGAAAGCTATTTAAAGGCAATTTG